GCATGCCAATGTGCATTGGCTCGTTTAGTTTACACTCAAAGTGGATTGGTCTCTCTAAACGAGATCCCAATTCATCGGTCACCGACGTGACTCGGGAGTGACCGACTAAAATTTTGAAGGGGTTTTTTTTAATCATTGCAGCATTTTTTTTTGTCTTGTGGACTATATGTAAACATCTTTTATGTAAAATATCTTACTGCGATCGTGACCATCACCAGGCGCCAGGTAACGACTGCATCCCGAAACTCACGGGTGAAACGGCATCTTTAAAAAGACGATCCGTCATCTTTACAAAGACGCACCCGATTATTGTACTCTTTTAGAGAAATTGGCTCTTTTAGGGAAATGCTCTATTACGTGCTGAGACGCACAGGGGAAACGGCCGTTTGCAGCATGACAGAGGGTAGTGCAGCCTGAAGTGAGCAACCCACTCGACACAGGAACGACCACCGCTGAAGCGCCGTCCGCCAACACCAGAAGCTTCCAAGAGCACTTTGAACTCGTAGTTCACTGAAGACACTTGGATGGAGCAGAACGATGTTGTCGCTCGGCTCTGAAGCGCATGCATTTTGTATGATCTCTCTTATTTTGTTAAAATTATTCACATTTTCACAGATTCTGCAAGGAGTTCCCAAGCTTTCGCATGCCACTGTATGTAAAATCTGTGCATCCAGTTACATCATTCTCTTTCTGTTGTTATGATGCCAGTCGGACCTGTTCCAGGATGATCTGTACCCAGACACAGCAGGCCCAGAGCCGGCTCTGGAACCTGAAGAATGGATGGACAGACGAGACGCAGACCCCCTATTAGTGTCCATGAGGGATGGCTATGTTCCTCCAAAGAGTAGAGAGCTAAAGGTGGCCAAGAAGAATGTTCTAGACACCAGACCTGCAACACGTAGAAGCATGTCTGCCGTAGATGGAAGTAGTTTGCCCGTAAGTAGAATGTCTTGCTTATCCTTGGTCTTAAAATGTCTCCTTCATAACTTTGTTCCTTCATCACCTCCATTTCTGACATTTCTTAAGAAGCAAATAGGGCTGGGAATTTTATCGTGTTCATTTAAAAATAAACAAACAAAAAAATACATTATAACATTATAACAACATATCCCATCAAAGTTTTCATTGGTTTTGAATCTATAATGCTACGGAAGATGAATGTTTTAGCTGTAGCTTGATGTCTGATACGATGAAACAAGCACCACTAAATTATATCATTAAAGTTTTTTAATACATTGTCCATGGAACAAAAAACATACAGTGTATCAGTTCAAATCACAAATGAATGACTTAAATGAACCGGTTCTTTTTAATGAAACAGTCAAAATAACAAATGAATCACAACTCTATCACTGAATCAGTCAGTTAGTCGGTGACACCCGACTCTTTTACCTAATATTGTTTGGATCAGTTTTTTTGTTACTTTGAAATTTGGTAATTTGAAGAACTGAATTGTGGAAACTACAATGTAAGTGTAATCTGAATCAGAATCATCCAATTTCTTTTGATTCCCATCCCTAGAAGCTAAACATTTCTTTCCATTTCCAAATTAATCCTGTCCTTGACTTGCTCTTTTGCTTTTTTCCCTCTCTTTTTTGCTCCCATTCATCCTCCTTCTACTGTCACTATGCTTCTCTCTTCTATTTCCTCTTTCCAACTGCCATCTTCTCCTTTGCGTTCTCTCAATCTCTTTCAAACTCTAGCCTCAGTTGTTGGAGAAGCTTGTTGAGGAGATCCAAAATCTGAAGGCCACAGTTCTTTCTCAGGAGAAACGAATCTGTGACTTGGAGAATAAGCTCTCTAAATACACTAATGGCACAGTCTGAATAAAGCTAACTCATCCTGTGCACACTGCCCAATTCACTGCTAACCCCTCACAACTAAAGTATGAGCACAGATAGGCCAAGCCACCTCAACTCACCCCAGCTTTTATCAACACCGTAACTGCAGTTCAACTGGCTCGCCACTTGACTTGACACAGGCTTTTTCTAAATGTGAATAAATCACCTATACAGTAGTTACATTTCGAATCATTAGGAGATTTAATTTGGCAAAGGCACTTGTAATGCTCATCCTGATGCTTTGTCGAAAAATTTTTAATATTGTGTAGTAGTACACAATATTAGCTATATTCCTTAAATGCTTCAGGAATCATATCAGGAAGAATTTATGTCAGCTATGCAAAAGGTAGGCAAAACCACCTTCATTTTAGGATTTACAAATCCTTTAATGTACTTACTGCTTTTTACCATTCAATGCTGACAAAGAATGAGAGAAGAAATGTAGCTGCAGCTTTCTGTAGTGGTTAACAGTCACAGTGTCTTTGGTAGTCTCTGTGTGAACATACCTCATTGTAAAGACCAGGACTTGGGATCAGATGGTAGCATATGTAGCTCTTATTTGGTCAGCTCTGGACAAGCAATATCTATGGCATGACTATAATATGTCAGGACAGTAGCGAGCTCAGTAATGCTGCCAATACACTACACGATTTTGAAATAATCAGAGTGCTGTTCTTTTCACACTACGCTAACTTTTTTGGGTATCATGAAGTTGCTGTGCTTTGCACATAACACAACGAATCGGTGACTGTGGGCCACACATCAAACAATTTCACTAGGAAGAATCCCCATTTCTCATTTACAAAATGCATTTGCGAGAAGTGATGCAGGATCTCACATAATATCATGCATGAACGGAATTCTGGCGTGGAACTGGTATTCCTTCAAATCAAAATGGTTATCCACAAGAAGCTTGAAATCTACAAAAACAGAAAAAAGATGAATATGGAGAAGAGATTGTTTGAGAAGCTGACTTCTCAATATTTCCCTTGCGCTATATCTTGTTCTCCTCTCATTAGCTGAAGGTCATCGCTAATGTCATTTCCAGTCAAAACACATTTCGCACTGCAAGATTTCACAGTGGCAGACAGGCCCAGATATTTAGCCTGCTAATTAATTCTCGGGCATCAGTGCTTTTCTCAAATTGTGTCTTTCTCCACTATATGACCTCACACTATACGATAGTCACTCATGTGAACGAGCATCGATTTGCCTCAGATTTAAGACTGACCTCCAGAAAAATCTTCTTGTTGGTGATCTCCATAAAAATAGGGCCTAAAATCGTGTAGGCTTGAGAGTTCTGCACATCACTTATTGCCATTTTATCGTAGTGGAATAGTTCAGCCAAAAATTATGTACTCTTGTTATACTGACCCTCATATTGTTCCAAACTATTTAGTTAATTTTTTGGTAAAATATAAAAGTTGTTACTAAATGTCCAAGTTGCTCTTTTCCATACAATGAATGTGATTGATTACTTGGGCTGTGGAGCTCCAAAAATGACAAAAAAAGCACCAAAAAGTAACATAAAAGTGGTCTGTGTGACTCATGCGCTATATTCCAAATGTTCTGAAGACTTACGATAACTTTTTGTGGGGAACAAACATGGCATCACAAGATGCATCATGCCATCAGCGACATGGACGATACTGGTTCTTGCACAACAGATTTCACATATTTAAACATCTTTAAATCAAAACAAGCACATATTATATTTGAGATCTACAGCAGGAATTAAAAATAACTACTTTTGGTCTGTTCTTCATAGAAAACTATGTATAGACCACATAGCTTCAGAAGACTTGGCATATAGTGTGTGTGTGTGTTGTGTGTGTATTAGTATTATACTTTGGTTACACTTTATTTTAAGGTGTCCTTGTTGCATTGTAATTATACATTTAAGTACTGAGTAACATTAATTAACTACATGTACTTAGAATATGGTTAGGGTTAAGATTAGGGTTTGGCTTAGTGTTACTTGCATGTAATTATGCATAATTTATTGTTATAGTTATTATTATAATAGTAAGGATATATAACGTGTAACAAGGACACCTTAAAATAGTGTTATCTTTTTTTTTTTATACGTTTTTTGTTTTCAAGTTTGTTTTTTTGAAACTTGAAGCTTGACAGCATCAAAACACTTTCATTGCATGAAAAAAACAGCTTGAACATTCTAGATAAGATTAAAACGTATGTAGATAAATTAGAACAGAATTTTCATCTTTGGGAGAAAAATTCCTTAAGGCAGAAAATCTTTATATAAAGATATCAAATGTAAATCTAATGAGCAAAGGATGTTTGCATAGACAACATATCTTCATTTGTCTCTCATTGTAAGAGTGCTTGCATTATTGACTCTTAAATTGCTACTAACCTTTCACTTTACACACCTCTGCATTTCCAGCTTTGACCAACACAATTAAAACTCATGTGGCTTCTGAAATGAACACTTCAAAATGTAAATATTATTCTAAAAAACATGAAAAACTGCAAAATATTAAAACCAAAGACATTGTTTTGTGTTTATGTAGAGGATAATTTGTCAGTATTATGGTTTGAATAAAACTCTTTTTGTACAAAAAAAAAAAAAAAAAGTTGTCATTGTTGCATGCAGTCACTTGCTCATAAAAATGCATGGACACACACGACACATCCACCATGGTAAATTACTCTATCTGCAAATTTATTTCTACGCACATAGCAGTCAGTATCTCGGTTCAATTTTTTGTTATGGGACCATAAAGCTAGTACATTTTTATTGTATAAACAACCCAGGAACAAAGGGTACTGATTTGGGTGCAATATCCTCAAGGTCTCTTACCTAGTCAGATAGCGAGCTGTTAATGGTCACTTTTCAATGCGTTCCACCTAGTACTTGAAATGTATTCTGAAGGCAGTAAAGGAAAGAAGTGCTTGAATCTTAGACTTTCAAGTGGCAAACCCTCCATTAGTTCCATTAGACTGCTATTGGACTTTTATTGGACTGCTTTCCTGCAGCTAACAACAGTCTGTGGATTAAAGTATTGTTAATGATTTCTGAAAGAGGGGGAGCAGCGATGTTTGCTATGGGTTGGGGAGGAGGTACAAGTCCATGTAGGCTGACATGCTAGTGAGAGTAGAACAGATCATTTGGTTTAAAGATCTGAGTTTTTCCACTTGCTCGCTTGAGAAAACCATTGCTCACCAACCTCAGTGTTAAGGTAGGTTCCTTGTGCCCTTGGTTAGACCTATAGGTTACCGATTTGAGAGCAATGTGGGACTTATTCCTCAGCCTGTTACCTTCTTTGCTGCTGGTCCTGGTTACAATATTGCGTCGATGGAACTGGATCTGTCATCTTGCAGCTAGTACTGTTCAGCAGTTGGGTCACTGTATGTGGATTATGGCCTGTAGACTCTTGAAACTGCCATGCTTTACAGTATCAGGATCCACAGAAGAATGCCAGGCAGAAGTCAGACTGATCTGTAAACCCACGGCCCTTGCCAGCCACCTGAAGAAACACTGCTATACTTTGGCCCAGCCTCCTCTGGCAAAATGGCCTCAGGCCGACCCTCATTTTCAGATAATTACCAATCTCATGTGGCCCACAAAGGAAGGTGCTGAACTGCAAGGAGGAGTCCGCTTTACACGGGATAACCTTCTCCTAAAGGATGGGGGTATTGTGGCCCTGGATTGGGCTGTGAGTCTGACGGACCAACAAGCTCAGGCCAAAAGGGATCATCATCCTGGAGGAAGATTTCTGGGTTCTAGTAATCCTGCTATTGTTGTTATAATTCCCAATGCCCTAGGCAGAGTAACACCACATTTGCTCATGTTGTGCTACAAGGCTTTGCAACAGGGTTTCTATCCAGTGGTTTTCCATCGACGTGGTCATGGTGGCTGCCCACTGACTACTCCACACTACCAGGAGTTTGGAAATACTTCTGACCTTGCACAAGCAGTAGCATACTTGCAGAGTCGTCATCCATCCTCAACTTTGCTTGCAGTAAGTGAAGGCTCGGGATCAGGGCTACTGCTGTCCTATTTGGGGGAATGCGGTTCTTCATCCTACCTGACGGCCGCTGCTTGCATCTCTCCTGTGTTTCATGGACAACTGTGGTTTGAGTATGAGCTACCTTGGCTTTATCAGTGGATAGCCCTCATCTACCACAAGTTTCAAATAAACAGGTAGAAAATTCCTCACAAATGTTGACTGATCTATGCTAAAGTGTTATGGATTACAGACTCTACTGCTATAGAAGTACAGATTAAAACAGGGGTATCCAAATTCGGTTCTGGAGTGCCACTGTCTGGCAGATTGCGCTCCAATTTACCTCAACATACCTGCCTTGATGTTTCTAGTATGCCTAGTAAGACCTTGATTAGCTGGTTCAGGTGTGTTTAACTGGAGGTTGGAGCTAAACTCTGCAGGTCAGTGGCCCTCCAGGAGCAGGATCGGACACCCTTGGGTTAAAGCAGGGGTCACAAAACTTGGTCCTGCAGGGCCGGTGTCCTGCAGAGTTTAGCTCCAACCCTAAATCAAAGACGCCTGAACTAGCTAATCAAGGTCTTGCTAGGTATACTTGAAACTTACAGGCAGGTGTGTTGAGGCAAGTTGGAGCTAAACTCTGCAGGACACAGGCCCCCCAGGACCGAGTCTGGAGACTCCTGGGTTAAAGAAATGAAAGAACCCACATTTAAATTAGATTATGCAACTTGTGTCCTGTGCTAAAATTGACAGTTTACACTTAAAAGCCTTAATTTCAATCTTGCCATCACTTGGCACACAAGCAACATGGACTTTTGTGGTGCTTTATGGCCATTTTTGAAGGTCAACAGCATCAATCCATCCCTGTTCTTTTATGCTGCCAACTACACAAGTTTAGTCCCGAATTTCTAATCCCAGACGGTTTTGTGTTCTTTTATATGAGTAACAATCACTATGTGTAGCCTTTCAAAGACAGGACCTGCTTTTCCACTGTCGGGCCAGTGCGAGCAAGTGCTTTAAACGGGCCGGGCGGGGCTAATAACCTCGGACCTGTAGCACCGAGGCCAAAATCACACTGCATTTCCACCGTCAGGCCAGAAGCGCCACTGCGCTTCACTAAAAACCACCCTTTACACGCCACTCAGGAACAACGTCACGCAATCCCATCATTTCACCAACAAAGAGAAGTTATCAGAAAACTAATAAGAAATAAGTCACTGGAACTAGCACGATCACAAAACGAACATGATAAAAGCGGCCATTTGTTTGCATGCTTTGTTAATTAAAGATTTAAATCCAAAAGCATCGATGTTTTACAATAATAAGTGATACATTGATCATAATTAATTATCAAGATTGAAAATTAGAACACTCAGAAATAAAGCGGTATGAACATAGCCTACCTACTTATTCAGTCGAGTCTGTTTCTGTTTATTTGTAGTCGCAGTTATAAACATTACATTTAGAAAGAATGATAATTTCTATATTTTTATAAAAGCTCCCGAACAAAAACCATTATTATATTTTTATGACATA